ACATTAGTAGCAGCACCACCACCACCACCACCACCAGCAGCAGCAGCAGCAGCAGCAACATTAGTAGCAGCAGCACCACCACCACCACCACCACCACACAGCAGCACACAGCAGCAGCAGCAGCAGCAGCAGCAGCTAAACGCTAAACGAGACGACCACGACCATCCCTGGATACGGTTGCTAGGTTGGTCACCCTCGCCCAGATTGTATGTTATACGCATGCGCGCCAACTTCGCGGTTGTTCTTGATCGAATGTCGACTTCGCGGCACTTCGTTGCCAAGCACTGTCCTTTAGAACGTCCCAGGTAGAGAGACCTAGTGGGTCCAGAAAGGTAGGCCTACCGGCCTATACGACAATGTACGACATTTACATGCATGTAAATGTAAAATGTGCAATATGTACATGTATTTAAGGGTGAAATGTTCTATATGTACATGCGCAGTATTTGTTCGCGGCTCATTGATGAGACATCTATGATCTGTGCGGCCATAAACGATGATGGCACTCGTGCCAGAATCTCTATATATATTTTTCCGTTCGGACACTCACCGCCACTCTGTCCATCTTCTATTACTCTCTCCTGCACGGCACCACTACCCTGTGTTCGCCAGAGTTCGCCTGTGTTCGGCATCGCCAGTGTACAGGCTGGTCGTGCTACCTTGCCACCTGCAATCTCCGTTGACCTATCCACGTGGCGTGATTTTCATTCACACACACGTATATCATTTATAAGATACACATTGTCAGGAGTGAATAAAAACAAATGGCTTTTATCGACTCCTGATATTTTACATTGTACATATGTACGTGAACATACATATATGAGATACATGTTGTAGATTGTGCATTTTCATACATGTACATAATGTACATTGACATACACGTTCATTTATAAGGTCGTACGTGCACGCACATATTGTGTATGTGTATGCAATATGCATGGATGCACACATTACACATATATAACTGCCTACATTGGCAGCAGTAGAGGCGACATCGCACATACACACGCACGCACGCACGCACGCACATACGCACGCACGCACATACGCACGCACGCACGTACACATGCACGCACGCACACACGCACGCACGCACGTACACACATGAACATGAACAAGCGTTTCCTTGCAAGACACTTAAGTGACATGGATAAGCACAGCCATCAGTTTTTACCCCCTACCCCCCATAACCACTCCTACGTTACCCCCTATATCTACCCACCTACGGTCTTGTCTTTTACCCTCTACACCCTTCTTTACCCTCTACACCCTTGCGTACCCCCTACAACCTTGTTTACTCCCTATACCCTTCTTTACCCCCTACATCCTTGTTTACCATAGCTCTAGAACTATAGGCCTTCGCTCTGCCGCAGGCACCCGTGGCAGGCACCCGTGGCAAGCACCCGTGGCAGGCACCCGTGGCAGGCACCCGTGGCAGGCACCCGTGGCAGGCACCCGTGGCAGGCACCCGTGGCAGAGCGAAGGGCTATAGTTCTAGAGCTATGTTTACCCCTACCCCTCCTAATCAGTACTACACCCTGTCTACCCCCTACACCCATGTCTATCCCCTACACCCTTGTTTACCCTATACCCTTGTTTATTCCCTACTATCCCCATGTATGTCCATCACGTTTAGCCCTACCAACAAGTCCATCCCTTAACCATGGCATAACCTCCCCCTTTCACACTCACAGGCTAATAGCACCCTACCGCAAAAAGTTTTCCCCTAACCCCAAATTCACCCACTACTAATGCTTACTAATATCTAAACGATAACAATGGTAAAAGAAACCCTGGAATGGGGAGCACCTCAATCAATGAAAGGTATATAAGTGCATCGACAAATAAAACACCCCACAGCGCGACTCACAGCTATATAATCGCAGACAACAGCAGCCCACAGCAGGAGTAAACATGGCTGCCCACAGCAGGACTAAACATGGCGGACACCGCCGTAGACAGCAGACAGAGCCTTGCAGGAAGTGTGGTGGGTAATACAGCGGCTGTCAGCACTGTCAACATGACATATCAAGGACAACAATAATAGCACTCTTCTGATAGAATTCGATTCCATTACGAAATCCGAATGGATTTCCACTCCTCGTGTCATGCCCTGGAGAAAGAAACCCGTGAATGTCCTCCTGACCTCTAACTGACCTTTCCATTACCCTGTTGCTGACCCCCACCATTCTGACCTCTCACCGAGTGCTCCTCTCCCTCATCCTCCTCCCCATACACATATCCTTCTATCTCTTCACAGCTCCCTCTCCTCTCACAGCTCCCTCTCTCTTGCAGGTTCCTCTCCTCTCACAGCTCCCTCTCTCTTGCAGGTTCCTCTCCTCCCACAGCTCCCTCTCTCTTGCAGGTTCCTCTCCTCTCACAGCTTCCTCTCTCTTGCAGGTTCCTCTCCTCTCACAGCTCCCTCTCTCTTGCAGGTTCCTCTCCTCTCACAGCTCCCTCTCTCTTGTAGGTTCCTCTCCTCTCACAGCTCCCTCTCTCTCGCAGGTTCCTCTCCTCTCACAGCTCCCTCTCTCTTGTAGGTTCCTCTCCTCTCACAGCTCCCTCTCTCTCGCAGGTTCCTCTCCTCTCACAGCTCCCTCTCTCTTGTAGGTTCCTCTCCTCTCACAGCTCCCTCTCTCTCGCAGGTTCCTCTCCTCTCACAGCTCCCTCTCTCTTGTAGGTTCCTCTCCTCTCACAGCTCCCTCTCTCTCGCAGGTTCCTCTCCTCTCACAGCTCCCTCTCTCTTGTAGGTTCCTCTCCTCTCACAGCTCCCTCTCTCTCGCA